CCTGCAAATGAACATGGAACCCAAAACGAGGGTCTGCCGCAAGAAGATTCCTCTAGAAAGTCTATGTCTATATGTAGCTTGTTGGGAGTTCATGTTTTAACCTGCAGTCTCAAGACATTCAAGACGATGTTCCACAACCGACTTGTACACCACCTACACCAAAGTTTGCCAAACTGGACAGTTCACCACTCCCACTTCTCTTAAAAAGCCCCAACCCAAGTATCACCCCGCCCCAAAGCCACCCACACGTCACCCCGCCGTCACCCCACCCAGCACTCAGCGCCCGCGACCCCCGCCTCCACCCGCTGGTGGGTGGCGGACATCGCCTCCGCCAGGTGGCGCCAGGGCTGGTCGGCCAGCGCCGCCGCTGCTGCCTCAGACTCGGACGGAGCAGCAGGCTGCAAGCGGCCCCGCGTGGGGTCGAAAAATGTGCGCGCCTTTGACTCGACCATTCCCCAAGAAAACAACGGAAGAAACAAAGACACAAAGAAACAAAGAAACAAACAAACAAACAAACAAACATTTAAACAAACAAACAAAGAAAGATAGAGAAAAAGAAAGAAACAAGAAAGAAAGAAAGAAAGAAAGAAAGAAAGAAAGAAAGAAAGAAAGAAAGAAAGAAAGAAGGAAGGAAGGAAGGAAGGAAGAAAGAAAGAAAGAAACAACACAAGCATAATCTATGTTTGTGATTGCGGGCCCAGGTGGTGGGATTTGGACTCCCCCTTGGTTTCCCCATGATCCGGGTTGGCCGGTTCTACCCGCGTTCCCGTGTGCCGTATCCCGTATCCCGTGTCACGAATCCCGTATCGTCCCGTGTCCCGGGTCCCGGGTCCTGTATCCCGCCGTGTCCCGGCCCGTATGTTTTCCTTTGAAGTCTTGCCCGTCCGTGGAAATTGCATTTCTTCAGGTCACTGTTGCGGAAACTGGCTGACTCTTTCTGTGATTCCAGAGAGGTGGTTAAGTACTATCCCCTGATTATCACTACTCTATCACTTATCCTCAACCCCCCCCCCAAAAAAAAAAAAAAAACGACCACCTGAAGTGGCAGAAGTCACAACATGACCCCCTGAAGCACAAACAGCTCAGAACTGGAAGCACCAGGCCAAAGCTTGGCTTTCTCCTGAGCGGTCCAAATAAAGCCGTGGAAGGAAACGCCTGACAACATTTGTAGGTTGAAGGCCACCTTTCTTGGACTCCAGCAGGGAACCTGCCGGCAACTGGCTCTCAACATCTCTCTGACTTCAGCTCCCCACTGCAAGCCATGCAAATCACTGGGTCTCCCACCTCCACTCCCTTGGCCGCCTGCGCCACTGCCGCCAAAAGCTGAGCCCCTTCTAGCGCCTCAAATGCAATCGAAGTCGGGTGCTCGATCTCGAAATGACAGCACCCAGAGCTTGTTGTTTGTTTGTGTTTCTCTCTTTTTTTTGCGGGGGGGGGGTCCCTCCTCGCTGAAAAAAGAACACGTTGAAGCTGGAAGCCAAGCAATCGGTGCTCAGCTCCACTTTCGAACACGCGCCAACAAGGCTTCAAGGAGAATCGGTCAGTTGCTAAACATATCACCGAAGACAAACGGCCAGGGAAATGTACTGTAGGACAGGGGTCCACTTCAATGACCCGCAGCAGTCAAGGCACATCGGCTCACAGACCTGTCCCCTTCCTCCCCAAAACGGGCCACGTGAGCCGGGGACTGCATTGGGGATCCCATCTGACGCGTGATGTTGGTAGGTGTCGTCTAGGAGAGATCACGATGTCATTTGCAAAAGTGTATCCTGCTTTCCTAGTGCAAATATGGTAAGTGTACTCAATGCCATCCCCTTTGTTGCGGCTGACAGTGAGTATTGGCCGTTGTCTCTTCACAGCACCCCCCCCCACAAAGATATGGCCAGTTGTGGATGCATTTAGCGAGCAATTGCAAAGGATGCTCAGCAAGGATCAGTCTTTGCTTGTGTGTGTGTGGCAAAGGAGAATCCTGTTGAAACGGGCCAACACTCGACTGCAAATTAACAAGGACCCCCTCAGAACCATCACGCTTAGCGGAATCTCGTTTCCCCCCCACCCCCCTTTGGGTTCCATGGTCGTTTGCAGGCTGTACATTGCCCAAACAAGTTGCTCCGCCAATACGTTCCACCAGTCAATCACTACTCCTTCTGTCACTGCCCATGTGCCGTGGTCGAGGTGACAACGAAAAGAAGCCCACCACAATCACCTGTTTGATAGAAGTCTCACATAGATAAACAGGCATGCTCGTGACGGCTTTCCAACCTCTACTTCAAGAACTGCAATGACCATTTTCCCACTAGAAACAGGAGCATGTTCACTCATGGAGACATGTATATAGATGACGGTTGAAGTCCTTACAAGCTCAATGCCCAGGGGCATGACGCCTATGGCACCGGGCGGATTGGATCGGTCCCCATCAAGGACAAATTGAGCCATATTGGTAGCCCCAGCCATGGATACAGTTGGAGGCCGCCCCCCTCCGAGTAAAGTAATCAGAGATACGATGGATGCATGAACAAGCGTTACCTCGTATCCCCAAACCTGCTACTAACATCAACTAACTGACCCTTACGCACAAATACCATACCCAAAGCGAAGGACAACCGGACTCATGGGCTGCCCCGCCAATGGCTCTGGCTCAGACCTGTCGGCGCCAGCACCCCCTTCGGCTAAGTCAGAAGCTGTGGCCCAAGCCCTAAGAGTTGACAAACATCCCCGAGAAAATACTTGCTGGTGCTCAGTGGGGAACGAGGGAATGACACTTATAAACCATCCATTGTGGTGTCCAAAAGCCTGGGTTCATTCCCACATTCCCTACTCAGCACCAGCAAGAATACTCTCCATCCAGAACCCAGACACCGTATGTTTCGCCCCGGAGAAGTGATGTTTAAACCATCAACAGGGGAAGCCTTTTTTTGACCCGCCTCGGGCTCGCGGCCAGACGGCGCAGCGAGGCCTCGCGGATTCTTCCAGAGGGCACCAAACGGGCTCCGGCGCTTTTCTTTTGAAGTCCCATATGTTGAAAAATCAACGAAAACAGATAGGGTGATTTTAAACAAACAAAAAGCGGTTCCGAAACCGGCTGTGATGCAGATCACTAGAAAAGTGCCGGCCATTTCAGGAGACCTGCGAGAGTGGAGTGTCATGTGGGGTTTGGTGAGCTTCCCTCTTGGCGGTTTGGGGGTTAGGGGACGGTTTTCCATTTGCTACAAGAACCAGGGCTCCAATCCCCCTGCCTGACCCAGGTTTGACACATCTCGCCAGTTGGCACTCGAGACAAACCCCAGCCACCCCAGAAACACAACAACCACCCAGATCCCCACACACACGCACACACAAAATTCCCTGAGCATCGCGAGAAAATGACATCCATCCCCCTTGTCCCGCCCCGCCCCCAACCTCCAGGTTTTGAAGCTCCCGCCAGGTCGCCTGAAAGAGAGCAACGTCTTCTCAACTGGCTGGTGCCAAGGGAAATCAAAAACTAAACTGACCCCTTCGGCCATGGCTGGTGGCCAGAGACTGGTGGATTATAGGGGTCAAAAAAATCGCTCAAGGCAGGCCTTTTCTCCAGCTGCCACTCTGATTGATGTAACTCCCTGGGCTCACGGTGCACCCCCGCATCTTGGCGCATGGCATTCGGTCTGGCCAAATACTCCAGACCGCTTCAAAGCGGCGCATCTGTTGAGTAAGGGATCCTCGATGCAAGCCTTGGTGCCAATGAGGGCCCGGAAGAACCAACACTGTCTAGAGGTTTCCTAGACTACCTTTTGCCACCAAGCAAATGACCTGAAAAAAACTGCTTGTTTGGAACAACCGCCAAAAGGATTTGATTCAGGGTGCGCCTTTTGAGCCCCTGTCAAGGAAAGAAAGTACCCTCTATCTGTCCGGGGAATATAAATCCTGAATTGCTTGTCCCAAGCCCCATAAGCATGTCTCGCGCTGTTCAAAAACAAATCCCAGCCGGCCTGCGGTTCTGCTGGTACGACCTGCAGACTCTGTCAGAATCACAGTTCAATCAAGATCAATGGATGTCCGCTGCGATTGCGCTCGCCTGGAGATAAGGGACTCGCCAAGTCATGGAAGAATATTCAATCTAGGCAACAACAACCCTCTCCAGGGCACTCGAGCTCTCATTTAACCGCAACAAGCTCCCAGCAAAAGTTCGGCAAAGTCAAACTCATGGGATCATATTATTGGCACCACATGTGAAGGTTGGAACTTTGCTTCGATGATTGTCCCTGACGTAATCTCATGGATCTTCCCATGGCAGCTGGTGGCTCGAATGGGGGGGTGTCCCTCCTCCAAAAACAACAAAGGACTACCCTCGGCCAAAAGACACACCCATTTGGGGTACCACGCGAGTACAGCCTCGTATAGCCTCATACTACTTGTGCGAAACATGGTGGTTGTTATTCCTTCTAAATTGAATGGACGTATGGGCACCTTCCGTGAAACCTTCCGCGACTTCCGCGGTGCAGGGTATGTGTCTATTAAGTCTCTAAAGGACTGCTTCAGAGGGCCTTCCTCGGGCAAGCTGTTTCTGGAAATTGAGGAAGGTTGCTTCCGCGACCGACTTCGTGTGCACGATTTGTTGGTCAACGCACCGTGCTCGTCAAAAACCTACCCGAACGAAATCAAACCACTATACGCTGCTGGTCCCTTCCGCGACATTTCGCAGGGAGTACCTTCTGCAAACCTTCCATGGTTGCAGTCTGGTGCTAACCTTTTGGTTCATATGCCACCTCTAGAAAATGTTACTTGACCAAAAGCAAAAAACAACACGAATATGTAGTAAACTCTATGTAATATGTTGATAATATATATATATATAATAATAATATATATATATATATACACACGCGTTTAAACGTGCATATAACAACATTCCTAGCCAACTTGGAGGTGTGGCTCGTGGCTCCCGCCTCTGCCGGCGCAACCTGGCCCAGGCTTCGGTAACAGGCTTGCTGAACCCGTGAGGTTTGGCTGGGCCACCTTTGGGTCTAAGGGCTGAAAAGAATGAGAATTCTCCGTCCTGTGGCCTTAGGTGAAATTGATGATTTGCTGGTGTAATCCCAGTAAGACGTCCAAAGAAGAAAAACAAAAATCGAACTCCGCTGTCGAGTGCGTGTGCTTTGCAGGGTTCCGTATGTCTGCGATATTGTGCGATTCGAGGCCTCGAATCCACAGCCAAGAAAACTGTCCAGAACAAAACTGCTCCCCTGTTCTGCTTGAGCGTCCCCATGAGGCCCATGGCACCCAATCATGCCGAGGAAGCAGACTAAATTGGCAATAATTGCCTGTGATTGCACCTTCGACAAGCTGAGGTGTTAGTGCATGTTGTATATGGGCACCTACATTTGCAACTGGAATTCATCACCAACTGCAGCCCCATAATTCGTAAACTTCTAGAACTTATCGCGCATCATTGCAGCCTTCGGCTGCAAGCCTGCGCTCTTGTGCAGCATGTTATTGCACAAGCCACAACGCCAGCCAGTGGACCAGACTGGAGCATCCAGAACGCGTGGCTGAAGCGCAGGCTGGAAAAAAAAGAGAAGCACGGCTTACGTCCAAGGTCAAAAGTGTGCATCCAGTTTGATTTTTGCTTGATCTAAAAGCGACATGAACCCTTCCACACCTCCCATCCGCCAGACCAACCAGACCTCCCAGCCTGGGGCTCGGGGAGCACAGGCACCTGCCAAAAAGAATCCGTCGTGAGCTGAGGACGCTGGCAGTTCCCGGTGGTTCCCCCTGCGTCTTAGTTTAGTTAATTGGTATATGCGGCCGAACGTGGACTAGGGGCTTGCGGTTTCGCCCCTCTCTCCCTCTTTGTTTGGACCGCAGTCGTTTTTGGGGAGGCGGCAGGGACTCTGTATCGGGTTCCGTGCTAGGTGGTGCTACTTCCCATCCCCCCCCCGCTCAGTGTGTCGAGATGAATTAAGGGGATTTAAAGGAAGCCGAGCGAAATACCGGGTGAATCAGCTTGCCCTGGCATAGTTTTTCCTTAAGAGACGAAGTTTCAACATGGATGAGTTCGCTCACCCGCAGATGAGGTTACTTTAGTTTGCCCCGGAATATTGCAAGGCCCAAACTCATCAATGAAAATGGGGTTGTGGCCGGGGGGGGGGCACTGTAAAGCCAAATTAAGTCATGATCATAGGAGCGACGTATTAGTATCTAACTTTAGCAGTTCTTTGGCCCAGCACATGACCCATCGATCCAGCGCTCAATTCGCCTCGTCCATGGCTCCATCTGGCGGCTCCAGCTGGACCTGGGACACTCTTTGGGATTCAGAGAGTGGCAAACTTTTGAATTTGGGTGGCGCGGATGACTTCCTTTTGCTCGGAGTGACTTGCCTTGATTTGGGTATGGGTCAAAATCAAACCACCAGGGGACCGCAGATTTTAGTCCATGTCGCAGCCATTTGGGTGGAATGTTTGGACTTGACTCTGGTCGGTGTGGGTTGCCCGATTTGTGGTTGGGTATCCACGCATCCACGAAACTTGACGGGTCAGTCGCAGGTCAGGTTTAAACATGGTTCAATTTCGCGAGCGCTTATGAACCCGTCTGCGGGCCCAACCCCTCCTAGGGACACATCTTCAAATTGCTCATTTTTGAATGCCTGGGCACGCGCGAGGCCGCGGGTAGCCGCATGGGCATGTCTTTTTGAGTGCATGAGGGAAAAAAAACAAACATGGAACCTGCAAAAGGCGGTCGGGAGGCCACAGGGCAACCCCAAGTTCCCAAACCCGCAAGGGACCGCCCAATCTAAGCAAGAGTGCCGTCCAAATCAAAGCTCCTGGTTAGAATACGCTATAACCCACCAACCTGAAATCAGAAATCCCAACACCTTCAGGGATCCGGACAACTAAGAAACAAAAACTTCAAAGCCCCCGGCGTGTGTCTCTGTGTCTGTGCTTTTTTGAGGGCGGCCAGGGACACCGAAATGACCACCCACGCCATTTTCGGGGGGTCTCCCCTTGAGCCATGCCACCCCACCCAGGGATCCTTACATTATACTCCTGAACATTGCCTTGTAAATGGTGGGTTCCCTTTATTTTGGTGGAAACAGCCATGTTTCAACTGGGCAAAATGTATCTTTTCCACCCTTTAGGCCTTCGGACCGCTTCCACCGCCAGCACCAAGGTCTTCCCCGCGTCCACGGCGGCGAGCTGCTGAAGCTCCTCTGTGCCGCACAGGGCCCCGCCTGCGACAGGCTCCGGCTCACGGTACGAAACTCATTTGCAACGAAGCTGGCGTCTAAAGCCGCAGGCTCTGACCCGAAAATGCTTCAAAGGCTCAAAGGCAACAACACTGTGTGTGTATTTCTGCGCACTGGGCAACAACGAAGCTCTCTGTTTTGATGAAACTCGTTTCTCAGACAACTGCTCGATGGTGACTGACGACCAGTTTGTGAAGACCACTTCCCGAAAAAGTGGCCAATGTCACCATTGAACAAAACAGATGACCGCTTGACTCTGCAGGCACTTCTTAGGCTCTTCTCGGTCTGGCCCTCGCACACCCACATAGGGATGAACCCCATTCCTTCGGGCTGGCTTCCGGGAGGAATGCCTAGAAGAGTGCACAGCTCGGAACCTAGAGAAGCAAGCCGGGCTCGCCCACATTAGCCAAACAAATCAGCAGCCAGGCGAAGGCTTCATCGCAAGGTCAGGCCCTCAGAACGTTTAAGCCATGGTGTACCTGCACTTTCCGAAAGTTGTCAACTTGCACCGAATGGAAGACATTGGTGGCCTCTTGCAACTCTTGGCATCTGTTTCCCACGGGTTGAAGTCTCACAACTTGGAGTTGATTCTTGTCTTAGCACAAACGCCCAACTCCGGAACACAGGATTGCCTAAAACCAAAAAACACTAAACCCATGTACACGGACTGCAAGTAGCCCCCGTGTTGTGCCTAAGACGAATTGAACCATGGCTCACCTTTGTGAAAATATTCACCGGGGTGAGCTAATCGTGGCTTGAGGACTCAAGTCCGCTGGGGAGGGCACGCCATTTGTTTGGCACGGCCGGTCATCTTGATGGAACGACTCAAATAAAGTTGGTCTGGACATTCACCTGCGCTGGCAACCACAGGGGCCCCGCTCTTCCATTGGCACTGGTTGGTCTTTTGTTTGGGCTGTCGCGTTGCTTTGTCGTGTAAACGCGGAGTTAATTCGTTTTGACGAGGGAATGCAAAACAGGAGCAGACTTACATGTGCGATATCCTTTCAGCGGAGGATGTTGGTCGTGCGCCCAAACATGGGTGGCAAATGGTGGCAACAAACATGGATCAATTTCTGTGAAACAGTGGATCGCAACACCCCCAATAAAAGTATCAGAAACCCGACTAATTCATTGGTGGTTTCCACTGGTGGCTTTCCCGTTCACCCTCAAGACCAGGGCTTCAAATCCAAACCAATCCAAACAACTCAGTCGGGGTTCCCTGATCTGAAGAAAGACAATTGCAAAAATGAATGTTCCTCATGAAGAGCCTGCCAGGCACGTCAGGGGCAGCGAGAGAAGAGAGGATCCCACCCTTAAGGAAACCAGGGTTTGCCTCAAAGGTCCTGGAAACAAAGGTGATGCCCCATCTTGTCAAAATCCAATTCTGGCTGGTATTTGAAAGCCTTCCATGGACACCAGTTTTGGGAGTACCCTGTTGAAAACCATCCAAATGAGCCCCCACACTAGGCAGGGGGTGGGGGGGTGTGGCGTCGATTCCGTTGTTCTAGGGAAAAATGGGCATGCCATACATCAAGTTCCAAGGAGTACCACCCTGAGCCACTCCTAGTTCGATTTGTCAGGGGCTGGGAACCGCAGGTTGAGGTGTTTTTTTTTTACTAGCCCCGGCTTTTTACTAGCCCCGGCTCGGCACAGGGCCTCCCTCCAAAGAGGTTGGGCTGGGGGTTGGTGGCCGCATCGCCAGCAGTACCGGTTTCTTGTCACGGCTGCGTATTGGGCATGATCACTCGGACGAGAGCTGCCTATTGGCTTTGATTTGGTGGCAGTTCAGGGTTGATCGGGGCTGGTTTGGGGTGAGTGTTGGGCTTGCTGAGATATTAATGCGGGCGGGTCTTGGGTTTGTTTGGGGTTCATTTAGCCTCGGCAAAGGGCCGATATGCAGGATGCGGTTGGGTGGTTGGGGCTGATTCGTGCTAGATTTGCGGCTGGTTTAGCCGTGGCTTTCGGGTTGCTTCAGGGATGTGGTTCTGCAAGTCTTGGGCTAGGATTGGTGGTTGCAACCAATCCCAGCTCAAAACTTGCAGAACCACATCCCTGAAGCAACCCGAAAGCCACGGCTAAACCAGCCGCACATCTAGCACGAATCAGCCCCAACCACCCAACCGCATCCTGCATATCGGCCCTTTTGCCGAGGCTAAATGAACCCCAAACAAACCCAAGACCCGCCCGCATTAATATCTCAGCAAGCCCAACACTCACCCCAAACCAGCCCCGATCAACCCTGAACTGCCACCAAATCAAAGCCAATAGGCAGCTCTCGTCCGAGTGAGGCCAGTAATGCTGGCGATGCGGCCGGCTATCCCGAGCATCAAGTTATGCCCAATACGCAGCCGTGACAAGAAACCGGTAATGTTGGGGATGCTGTGGATGCGGCCGCCCAGCTGACCAACCAACCAACCAACCAACCAACCAACCAACCAACCAACCCACCAACCAACCAACCAACCAACCAACCAGTCTCCGAAACCTGTTCAACCTGCTTGATGGATCCATTGCCCGCGCCTGACAAGAAGCGGTTGCCAGAATCTCGGCCTTGGACTGGTGCTCGGGGGAACTTCCTAAAACCTGCGCTTTTCGGTGCCACAACACTGGGGCGGGGGTTCGGAACATTTGACCCCTCTCTGTGGTTGGCTTCCCCGCTTTGAGATAGACATAAAGGGGCTGTCCGCATCAGGCAACTTGCTGCCCTTGGGCAGTCGCGAATCTTCACTGAGGGAAGCTAAAAAATCAAAGGGCTTTACAAATCTTGCTGGTGCGATCAGGGAATGAGTTGGAATGACCCTTTTTCAACCCATGCCGTTTGGTTTCCTTTACAAAAATCCCCTTGGGTTCATTCCCACATTCCCTGAGCACCAGTCAGACGACTGCAGGACAGCCCCGACTTGTTCGCTCTGCGAAGGCCGCTGGGCGAGTGACCGTAGGGCCCGGCCCAGATCTCGCTGTTGGGACCTGGCGAGCAAAGCGGTCTCACTGCCTGAGACTCCTTGAATGATAACAATAATAATAATGTGATAATACTAATACGTATAATAATAGTACACTAATATGTATCTGTATAGTAATATGTATATGTATGTCTATATGTATATGCACATATAAACATATATATATATATATGCACGTATGTGTCTGTGTATATATATACAGTGCAGGTGAGTGTGTGTGTGTGTAGATATATATATATATGTATTATACAGTCATAATGCAAGGGACCTGCCAATCACTGAGTCCCAAGGGCTCACCAAAAGAAATCGTGTGAGTTAGACCTCTCTCCAGGCGCGCTTCGTACGCCCGCGCCCCGCGCCCCGCCTGCTGACAACAGAAACGGAAAGGAAGGCAGCCCGTGCCCGGCAGCGGAGAGCGTCAGGCAAGCACCTGCGAGTGGAGCATTCGGTCGTGCATCGATCAATGGGTGCAACCTGTTTTGTGATAGTATCCTTTAGGTGGTTTTGGAAACCTTCATTTTTGCGGCACCCATGGGTGCTGAGAATTGACTCCTCCCCCCCGAAGTGCAGCATAACACTGATGCCATGCCGGCACCATACTTGGCTCAAATGGTCTTGTTCTTACCTTTGTCAAGGTCCCCCAAGTGGAAGCTTCATGTGAGTCAACCCAAGTTGCAGACTTTGATCACCCTCGGAAACGTGTCAGCACGATTCACTCAGCCCAAGTTACTGGGATTTCATCGGCCTGGCTGCCCGGGATGACAGACGCCGGCGGGATGAAGATGCAGCGTGAGGTTCCTACCTGCAGATCTTGTTTCGGCGCGGATGAGGCCAAGGGCTCGCGCCATTCCAAGCCCAAAAAACCAACCCTGGCGCCACGTATTTCTGCCTAACCTGGGTACGGAAGGGGGCAAAAGTTCGTTGGTCGGACAGCCCAAATGGCCAAAGCTCTCCGAGGTTCTGGCGCTGTTGTATTTTGAGGGTACACTTCTTCAAAGCACCAAACAGAAACCGGGCATTTTGTTCTGTCATCCAAACAACTCAACAAGACATAAACGAGGAATCGACAACTTCACTGCCGGTGGCCTTCGGAAAAAGGGAAACCTGCTGTTGGTAGTTCAATAGGTAAGCCCACCTGGAGAACAGGAACTCAACAAAGCAGCCACTTAACTAGCACTGGAGCGGTTTCGTCCTGGAATTCCCGCCCCCGTTTTGTCTTAGAGTCAATGGCCTGAAAGATACCCACTGGCATTGCCTGCCTGTCTGCTTGAAAATGAATGGGACCCACAAGTGCTGAAGCCCTCCGTTTTTTAAGGTGTATGTCCCTCGATCCTGAAAATGTAGGGACCTCACGTGGTTGGTTGTTTTTGCCCTCAACGCACCTATGATAAACAAAAGAGCTGCGCATTCTTCCCAGAAGCGATTGTCGGCACATCAGGGCGGCTCACTTGAAAACTGAAGGCGTTGTGTTCACTGGCACTTCTCACAAACCGTCTCATGTGCTCCTTGGGACATTAAATGGCCCATTTGATGCCAACTCCCTAGGCAGCCAGCTGTGGGCTGTCCGATGCCAGCGGCCCAAAAAAAATCCTCGCGCCTCCGCCGAGGTCGAAGGGCTGCGAGGCGAGCACCGGGCGACTTTGCACCTCTCGGATCGACACGGAAGGGGCGCCATCGTCGCTGTCGGCCGTTGGACAAGTGTAACACATGGACGACCCGCGACAAAAAGTCATCTTGGCAGAGTCAACGGGGAAATTGTGTGTGTGTGTGTCTTAGCAGGCAGGAAAGGAATTAAACCCCCCCAAGCGAATTCGTGCAAGGACCCATATAAAGTTGAATAGGATAATGTTGCTTGTTCGCAGCAGGACATGTTGTGGGGTATTGACAAAATTTGTGTTAGCCACTAAGTGAAGAAAAGGAGAGCACAACTTGTTCTTCCCATCCAATCCCCTACAATGTGGCCCTCTTGCCACCTTGCCGAGAAGTGCGGAAATGACGCCTGCCTTCGGCAGAGAGGGCAGAGGAGGGGAGTTCCCCAATTGTGGTTTGTATGGTTCCCACGAAATCAAAATATAAGCAATTATAAGTATGGCTGAATCATGATAATTCCCACAAACATCAGGGCTCATGGCTGAGGTCGGAACCCCCCCCTTGAGGTCCTGTTGTTTGCCCGGACCCCTTCCGTCGCCTGGTCTCGACAGACTCCGTCGCCTGGCAGTTTGGGCCCTATTTCAATTGACATGACCCATATTGCCATGGAAGACACCAAAACATAGCTGCCAAAGGCCGCCCGACCATCGCCACCACAACCTCTTAGGGAGGTCTAATAGACAACAACTGGGACCAGCCAGCTAGCTAACTAGATGTCCCGTCGAAGCGTCACACCAAAAGAAGCACTTTGAAGTCGCCAACGAGGGGAATGCCCTGTCTGAAGGCAGCTTGCCCGTGGTCACCTTCAGTGTTCACCAGTTCATAATGATGCACCGGCCGCGGAAGAAAGAATTTCACACCTGGTTCTGCCCTGATGAGAAGCATCAGTCACATGTCATCATAGAACAATGATCGCGTTGTTGTCCTTCGTGTAGTCCTCACACTAGCCATTCATATAGCTCAAAAAAAGACCAATTGCTCCACAGACTCAGTCCCTCAAACATCCGCCGAAGCAATCGTACCTGCCTTGGGCCAGGCATCTCACCTCCGGCTCCGTCCGCACCTTCCGGATGGCAGTGAAGGCTCGGTCTAGACATTCCAACGGGCCGGCCGGGTTTCCCTTGGGGGAGCAGGGTCTAGTCCTTGAAACTGCGCAAGCTCGCGGAGTGCTCCTGCGGCACCGCCCTTCAAAGCTATCTTGGTGCGGCCCATGAATCCAAAACCAGTCCAGAAAGCGCTCAGGGAATACACCGGTGGATGGCCAGAATTGCTCGTTGCGTATTCTGCAATATGGCACCTCTTGAATTTTGCTTGCTCTGTAGGCATATCGGCATATGTGTGCATATGTGCAACGCGGAAAAAGCATGGACTTCTGTGCATGCTCGGCATCGTGAAAGCGCATTGGGCTGCAGTTCGTATTGGAGGAAGGCCTTAGAAAGCGCAATGTCGTCTATATAATGGTACACACGTGCATAGGCAAACGAGGTACCTCTCTTAAACACGCCCAGCCGGAACTGCCTTCTGCGCCAAATTGCCTCGAGCACTAAGAAACTACATGCAGCCTGGAGGAAGCTCGGGATGTGCCATTCGTGGCGCTCCACCACCCAGAACCTCAGGTAGGCAAATGGGGCAGGACTGTCCCCTTGTATCTACCCGTAATGCCTCCGAACCATACAAGCTCTACATGTGTACACGTACAATTACAAGGTGTGCACACATTATGTATGTAGATGCATATATAACTTACACGTATGTATAATATATATATATATATATATTATATATATATATATACACCTACATATAATTTGTATATATTTTATGTATAATATTATGAACATGACGGGATCCCAGCCAGCAATAATTCAATAGCTCTAACCTGCTGATGTTTGGACACTTCCTCGCAAACCTTGGCATCTTGATGCTTACTTCGAGTGGAAGCCTGCTCAGCGCGGTTCCCCAGTGCTTCTTGTGCCCCAGCAATGGGTTTAGCTTGAACAGTTCGAACGGCTTGAACACCACCAACATGTTTGACTCGCGACACATATGTGAGAAAACAGTGAGTCATAACCAGTTGTCTTCTTTCCTAGCATTCCGCCCATCTTGTGCTGTTTCCACTGCGGAATAAACACGGGTCGTGCAAAAAAGGTCAAACTGTTGAAACAAAAAAGTTGCTTGGCTGTACGCACGCTTAAGCAGTTTAGATTTCAAGCGGGAAAGTGCTTTGATTGAGCGTGATTGCAACCAGTGCCCGCAACTGACGACGATGTGTTGGATGGTGCTTCAGCGTCCATGAGGCAACACCGCAACAGGAGCCGATAACAGGGCCCCCCAAACAGCAAGCAAGCTTCGAAGGAAAATCCTTGATATGGCCACATGAGTCTCCAAATAGGCCGAAATCAAAGGTCAAAAGGTCCATATACCATTGGATCCACGTTGCCCTGCACCTAGGCATCCTTTGAAAAATCGCTGACACTACTGTGGATGGACGAAATCCTGCACCACTTTGAAACCATTGGAAACTATCGTTTGTTGGCATTTTACAGGGGAAGCATTAATTTAGGGTTTCTTAGGTGGTGCCGGATTTCGTCCATCCACGATTCCAGTGAACCAAACCAACCCCAGGTCGCCAGCGTCTCGGACATGGAACCCTTTTTGAGGGACCCATTTGTAAGGAACCCAAGCAGAAAGAGAATAAGGGTACCACTTGGACATCTGAGAAATGATATTTTGGATGCAGAAATGCTTGAACCTTGGACAATGGCTTGGATCATTTTTGGACATGTCATGTGGCAGTTGGGCCTTTGGGCTTTTGGAATCCGCTCAACGGAGACGCTGAAGGAACTCGCTGAATGAAGGAAACTCGGCTGCCTGACGTGTCCAAGGAGACATCGCGCAGGAGGAACTGGCGCAAGGCCTGGCTGATGGGGGCACCAACTGTTGATTTAAAGAGTGACTAGGTCCTCCAGTAAAGAGGTTAGAATAAGGGTGTCCTTCTTTCTGTAGTCTATTTTAGTAGGGGACCCTCCCCCAAAAAGGGTAAAAGGGCATTGCTGGGGGACCTAGTGAGTGTTTGAACAGCTTCTCCGGGTCTCAGCAAAGCCCAAAAAGCTGAGCCTGGGAACCAACATCCATTGCTGTGAGGGGTGTGGGGGCACTCATCAGATCGCCCTGAGTGTACATAGGCGGGTGGGGGGATGTTCAACCCCTTTCTGCAGTGTCTGTCCGGGGCACCATAACAAAATACAACAGGCCATGCTTAACAAACTTGTTCCATTTTGCATCACCATGGAACATCATCACAATGATAGTTGTTGCGTGCTAGAACCAGTTCGCTCAAACCCATCGTTTAGGATAATCCAAATAGGTTGGTCCCAACATATTTTGACAACTCAACGGGAATGCGCTGAAGCCAGGGACATCTGCCGCTTCGCCGGGAGCTTCATGATGGTTTCAAATTCACATGGGCCCAAAAAAAGCCCCTTCCGCTGTTGACGTGCATCCCGTCTTCTACTGAACAAACCGTAAATTGCGTGCAAATACTTTTTTTTTCGCCTCGCAACAAGTACGTAGCCTTCCCCCAAATGAGCGGTTGTCATATATGAATATACATATACACACCAAATGCGGCCCTCTGTCCTTTTGCTCCCAAGCAAGAAACTACACCCATAGGGGCATCTCATTTGGCTGGCATACCATTTTCGGAGCCACGCGCTTCCCGACTCGTTTCGGCGCCTGGGAGGTAGGCCAAGGGTTGAGCCCCGAACAGTTCCGCAAGGCCAGGCGCCTGCCATTCGGAACTCGCAACGCGGCTCAGGCGGCAAGGTAACAATGGTTCGCCCAAAGCCATTAAAGAAAAAAAAAATCGCCCAAATGGGTAGCAATTTGACAAGGGCACCTTAGGTCTAGTCGCCTCGTGAAAAGCCTTGAGGCAGGTGCCCCTTCACACCTTGTTCGGCAGCTTTAGAAAAACCGCACACACACACAAAAGAAAAGGACACCATTCACCAAAAAGGGAAAAATCGGTTCAAAAGGGGCAGGGGTGAAAGAGCACCATTCAAACCAAGGGCAACCAGAAAGATTCAGAAAAGGAAACGACAAGCCATTTAAGAGGAAATGAACGCCATTCAAAAACAAAGTAGGGCAATGATTTGAAAAAGGGAAGGGAACCATTAAACAATAATAAGTGTCAAGCCATGAAAGATGCAAACACGATTCGGATTTGGATGAAATAACTACACATGCAACCATTTATTGGAAGGACAGCTTTAACAAGTGGACAAACACATGAACAAAGGGAAGCATAAACTGCGAAAACCGTGAAAAGCAAGAGGAGAAGGCTACCCTTCCCAAAAAGGTGCAAGCATGATACCTTTGACACAGGTGAAAAGGAAACTCAAACAGGCAAACATGGGAACCACTGGAAAACACGCAAAACAAGGAAGGACAAACCGAAGTAGCACCAAATAAGCACACTCCCTTTTGTGGCGGTTTTTCGAAATGGAAGCCCCAACCGAACAAAGGCGGAAAAGGGAAGAGTGGCCCAGCGGACCCTTGTAAACAAGGACAGTCTACGAGCCCAGGGAAAGGAAAACTTAGTGACCCCTGGACAAAGGGTAGCTTGGGGACCCCTTCAAGAACATGGAATCAAATCAAACACCTCACACAAAGGGTTGCCCGAGAAACCAACCAAAAGGCCCCCCAAAAAAAGAAAACCACACCCTGGCCCTCAGCCAAACAAACAGAGGGGCAGTGGACAGAGCCCCGGGGTCCCGGGTCGCTGGACGGGCTACCGGCCTAAGGCTGCCATCTGCGAAGCCCTGCTCCAGGGCTATGGCGTCACTCTGGTGGGCGCCCTGGAAGGACACGTGCACGCTCACCTCGCTTTGACCCCGCCCCCACCACGCTTGGGCTATTTGGGTGCTGTTGCAATTGACTGCTGTTGGATTCTCGGCGTATGAGGCCTCAGCTATTTGTTGATATGAGTGGCCCCCGCTATCCCCAGAAGCCAATGGATGATAAGGGGACTTCCCAGACCGATACCAACCCGCAAACCCGATGGCCCACCCAAAATCCATGCTCGATGGCCGAAACAAAAAGGGGGATCCCTTTAAAGGGATACATCTGTCCCACAGTTTCAGACCGAGCTTGGAGGTCCACAGTGAACCCTAGACACCGAACTCCCTGCCTTGTTCTGGCGGCTCCGGGCCCTTAGCTGCACCAGAACCACCTGGACGCATAGCTCTGAATTTCGGCTTGGTACCTTTTGACGGGGGGGATCCTATTTGGAGGCACACTCATGCACTCATGTTTGTCAAACTTGAGAGTCAACAAAGGAATCGGGTCGAGAACACAACTGGAGCAAACCATTTTGCGTCCTCCTTTGAAACCAGAGATGCTTGGTCCTTTTTTTGTTCTTCTTTTGTTCCGAATTGCCATGGGTCAAAACCCAAATCGTACCCCAATGAACATCCCAATCCCCACTAAAATAGGCCCTACAATGGGTGGTGAATTCACCAATCCCAACCAAAATGGGATCCAAAACGGTTTTGACAACCACAGCCAAATCAACCGTGCCAAGGACACGGTCACCCCCCGAAATCTCCCCGTCCCGCGCCTCCGGCAGCAGCTGCGCCAGATGCCGCCGCAGCTCCGCCTCGAAGCTCGCCTCAGGCGGGGAATGAGACGTGGAAGGACCAAAGAAATTAAACCGCGTCCTACTGCGGATGGTTGCAAAATCCATTTCGCACAGACACCTTGGTTGAAACCATTGTTTGAATTGGTATTTACAGGGGCTCATATCATTCTAGGGTTTCTTGGGTGGGTGCAGAAATTCGTCGATCCACAGTACGGTTTCCTGTATGTGAATCCATCCATGCTATGGTTTCCTTTATTCGGGATCCCCAGACTCATTCCCTCACCAGCCAATTTTGGTCGCCCTTAGCTTGTGTTTGTGTAGTCAACTTGAACCCCTAAAGCTATGGAAATTATAGCATGAAACAATCCAACAACGTCATGGTTTTGGTGAAGTGTGAAAATGCAAGATGTTAGGTAGGCTCAGAAAAAAAAGGCACCCCGAGACCGAAACATTGTCACCACTGGTCCACCTTTAACATTCGAGAGATTCGGAATAGTTGCCGCCTTTCGTGCTTGTCTTTCCAATCGTGTTGGTCCATCTTAGTCAATCCAGAAAGGAGTGCACAGCCTGCAACCCGAATGATCCCTTCGTTTTTGAAGATGATGGTCAGTATATATTATTGAAGGAAAAGGGCTCCCCATATAAAACATTCGATCCCAGCCAAGACCTGCGCGCCATGCGCAACGTGGTCTGGCACCAGCCCTGATTTCAGTTGGTCCTATCTCCCGCGCGGCAAAGCGAGTTACCTTGATAGATCATGCCTTGAGAAGTTGCCTTGGCGCTTGCACTCAAATGATTTGCAAGGATCTGTTCTCAATGTCTCTCACAACTATGTGAAACCATATAGGGCTGCAGTAGACTTGAGGAATCCACACTTTCTTTCATGAAGATCAATGATCATGGCATCTGGTTTGGAACCACAGGGATTGGGCTAACACAATTCTTGGGCAGACCAAACACATCGGGGATGGAAAGGCCACAAAGCGAAAGCCACGGCAAAATCAGCAACGCCATTTTTCTGGCATCAGAAACAGAGGGAGGCCCAAATAGGCAGAACCCCCAAACTTGTGCTTATCCTGTCACTTCCCTCTAGAACATGAACGGGTAGCCTCTCGCCACACACACACACACAGACTCCACGGCATAATGGCATCGATTCGATGTTTGGTAGGGTTTCTTCCGAGCACCCCTTGATTAACCGGCGGGGTGAGTGATCTGGGACCAGCATGTCTCCAAACATTGACATTGGAGCCCAAAATGCCTTTCCCTTGAAGCCGCGCCCAAAAGGGGCCTTTGCACTACCATCGTCAACGTCACGTCTCCAAGTGGTAGGGTTCAACGCAACGATCTCAGTTTCTGACTTGGCTCGCCCGAAGCAGTCATAATCATATGCTCACGCCAAAATTGGATAAACGATCACTTTCTCAAAAGTTCAAAGAAGGACTTAACCCAACTAGAGGATGAACCACGTGACTGGGAACCCTGGCATCAACTAGAGGATGACCCCCTTTCAGTTGGGAACCCAGGCATTCCCCAGCCCTCTTCCATCTTTCAGCCCAAGCCCCCGCTTCCCGCCTGCCAGGCCACCGCCAGCCCCGAGGTCTCCGCCCGGCCAATGAGACGGCAGCGCAGCACCGCGCCTTCGCCTTCCAAGCTGATGACTTTGCTCGCTATGGTACCATAACTTTGGGTATGTCATAAGGGGGGAACCCCAAAATTGAGTAGTTTCTTCAGTTGGTTTCCCTTTCAACCCACCTGCAAAGGGGTTCCCCCAAAAATACTGGCGCACCCATTGAATATTGCTACCACAACTATAGGCATACAAAGTTACCCACAAAACATACGTGTCGCCAAGGCCTGAAGTCTTGGAGTTTAGAAGCCAACACCCTGACCCAAAAGACCCTGAACCTTAAAGCGTGAAAGCCCTAAAGAACCCCTACAACCCAAAGAACCCCCACACACACACGCACACACACCAAACATTTTCATCATATCCAAACGCGTTGGACGATTGAAACCTTGAACACCCTCAACCCAAAAAGCAGCCTAACGACCCCATAAACCCCCTAAATCCCAAGCAGCCTCGAAACCAAAAGCGCGACAACACGCTGAAAGGCCTAAGCCCCGCAAGCACAAAACTCGCAAAACTCGGGGTCGTGTGTATCGCCTCGAATCTTGCTCTTGGCTTCTGACAGAAAGCTGCTGCAACTCGCAAAACACACTTGACCGCCACGAGCTCTCAAGGGAGCGCTGAGCTTGGGCTTGCCTCGGGGGTCGACAGAAGTGTGTTTTACTGCGCCTGCCACCGTATTGAGAGGTTCCAAAGGCTCGGTCGGGGCCGGCCGCGGGCAGGACGTACGGTTGGTGATACCCCCGCCTCGCCCTGCGGGAGATGCCGGTGCCGCGGTGCGCGGCACACCTCGCGAGCTAGGAGCCGACGTCGGTCTTCCCGGTCCACTCGCCGCATCTTGTTGTTCTTTGGCTTCCCCTCCCATGTCGAAGGACTCCCAAAAAATAGTCCCCGAAAAACCTTCAGCGTGATCTCGTTTACCCCACAACCCATTGTTTCGGCTTGTGCTCGTAAGAGATCCCATTTTTTCTCAATGTTTTTTAATTGTGCTCGTAAGAGATGCTCAAGCTACCAGCAATCAACAAACCAGAGAAACTTTGACTAAGGCGTTTCTTTGTGAAATGGTCATGGTGTTTGCAATGTGCATTCAAGCCCTTTGGAGGAGTGCTTCAACGCCAATCACAAAGAAGCTGCCCACCACTTGGATACTCTGAAGGAACAACTTCTCGTAATTCTCCGAAATGAGCACAAAAACACTCATGCCTGCTCAAAACTATACATGTTAATTTCACAAAACAAATGCTTACGTCCAATCCTACCACTTCGTGATGGTACCCAGCCACAAAGGCTCGGAATTCGGTTTTGGAGGTTCCTTCAGTGTATTTCCCGCAGGTTTCCGCATATTTCCCACCGATGTCCCAGCAGTATTTGGAACACTTGTCCAGTTGCACGTCCGCGCGTTTTCCGGAACTGTCACCCAAAGAACCAAAAAACAGAACAACTACAAGAAGCACAAACTTGTTCCTTGTAGGAACTCTTGCTTGAACAAGGGTCATTGTCCCACCCAACGGCTGCACCTGTCTATATAAGGGAAACCCTTGACTGGCCATTGCCAACAGGGAAACACACAACGTGCCGCCAGATAAGGATGTCCTGGGAACTGGATCTTGCGCAATAAGGCAGGCGGTGCAGCAAGTGTGATGGCGATGCATGTGAGAGAGGGCGTGGAACCATCCCAAAAGAGTGATCAGTTGTTGTTCTAATGAATAATGTGAAGTACATTCAAAAAGCCACGGAATTTCCACTTCCGTGATTCTGTCGAAAGGGGGTCAATCTTGGGGGGGAAAAACAAACTCCAGCGAGCGCTGTCCACCAAAGGGTCCGCGTGCAGTCAAGATGAATTGCCAAATAGATCCGATTTGGGAAATGCACAACTCCAAAGGTCCATGTCCATTGAACACTCATACCCAAAGCGACCCTTTTGGGGGAAAAGTGAACCCACTTTGGCATGGGTGCTAAAGCGCTTTCTGGTGGAGCTCTTACGCCCACCTCTGCGTCGCGCTGAGCGCCTCGCTAGGGCACTGTGCCCGACAGTCAGCGCCCATTCGACAGCTTTCCTGGCGCATAACTGCATGTGTTTATGTGTATATATATATATGTGTAAATGTATGTGTATATATACATGTATGTATACATATACACGTGCACAGCACATAGTACATGTGATATGTATTTATATATATATATATACATACATAGTATATATACATATGTGTGTATGTATGTACGCATGTATGCACTTCGAAATAAATGTGTATATATATATAGGCATACATGCAAACATATGTACGTATATAGCATACATACCGTTCGTATGCATACAAATATATATATATATATATGCACATGTATGTCTATCTGTCTGTCTGTCACTCTGCCTGCCTGCCCGTCTCCGTCTCTGCCTCTGTCTCTGTCTATGTCTATCTATGGCTGTCTGTCCGTCTGTCCGTCTGTCTGTCTGTCTGTGTCTGTGGCATCCTCCCAGATCGACCCCGTGAAAGTCCACAGAGGGCTCACTGTTTGAAGGTCGGCCGTGCCACTGGGACCGGCTTCTCGGAGGGCTCCAAGACCACAGCCCGCGTCGCCGCATGCCGCAGAGCCGAATTCACGCGCAGGGCCCAACGTTGATCAGAGAAACCACAGCTCAGATAGCTTTCCATGCACTACGGAAGCTCCTTCTACTCTTCCTTTGACAAGTGTAGACCTGGTGGGTCTCTAACTGGTTCCCTCAATGACCTACACGAAATGGACGTGCAAATGTGTCAAGCGTTGGTCACTTGCGTCCGGTCTTCTTCGTCCTACCCTTGGAACGGCACCCCGCCAGCCATCCGATCCGGCGCCTGCCGCGCACGCCGCGCTTCTCGCGGATGCCAGTTTCGACGGAACCGGTCCTCAGGCAGGGAACCCAACGCCACGCAAAGCACAAAGGCCCTAAACGGGGTCTGTGAAAAAATTAGACGAACCTCCGAAATGGGTCGGGGTTCCCTTGGCTTACCTCTCCCTCAAACAAACGTCGACACGCCCACAATTCCAGAATACAACAGTACTCAGAGGAAGATGCGTGTCCATGAAGCTTGGATCATAGGCTTTTTTTGGCGTCGTAGCTGAACCCCCCCCCACCCCTCCCAAACAAGGCACCCTCAAAATGGGGGTGGTGTCTGTGAAGTCGGCGCCGAAAATCACACCCCGTCGCACCGATGGAGGACTTGCGAACTAGGGCCTTGCAAGATATAGCCTAGAGGACCAACATACCTGCAGGTTGATGGGAAAACCATCATTCTGACAGGATCTCTTTTGGGGGATCCCCTTGTTTTCACTCTCAACTTGCAGCAAACAAGACCAGAAAAGTAGAAACACCTCGTTTATGTATGGACCTTCCAGCGTAGGGTCACTTGACCATGGCAAAGGGGGAAGAAGTTGCAAGATGCACCTGCATTTGTCAGCCACTCGTCAGATCCCATCCTATTTGGGCCCACGGCTACCAAGATTTGTGACACAACACTTGGCTCACTGTTACATCCCACACCTATGGTTTGAAAGATGGTCCAAAAATGGTTGGTTCCTTTGCAGACTCCCGTTCGTACAAGACACTGCAGAACATGTTGTCCAGCCTGGACAACAGCCATGAAGCTTCCTCCTACTTGAAAGGGTGCCCGGTCTTTGTCACGTGGGACAGAAAATGGAATTGGCTCCGGGCGCATGGTGGCTTCTCTACTGCAAGCAAATCAGCCACATGGACTTCCAGAGTTCACTTTTCAAGCCCTCCCAATCAACATCAAACCTGACAGGAAGGTTCCTGGAAGACCATGTTGCAAGAGACCTGTCAGGTTCCATGTTCATTGGTTGTCATCTCCTTGGGTGCTAAACCTCGGCCCCGCTCAGAGCGCTCTCAAGGCCCGGACCTCACGCCTGGGCGCAGGCATTGGCGTGCGTGAAACATCGAGCAAGCAAGAGGCTTCGGGGGTTTTCCCAGGTGCGAAGTTACCTCAGCGTTGGCCCCCGAAAAAGCAACACAGCATGGGTGTATCTCACTTGAAGGTCGGGTGAACAATATATTGCTCATCAATAGGGGCTTGTTCCCAAGAGAATCAATCATCTCCACTGACGAGGGACACCTCCCAGCCTTATCAAGCAGGCATTGTCTTGGTCTCTTGGGACTCTTGTGTATAAAGCAATACGCATCAACACGTATTATTGTCAAGTGTTTAAGGGACTTGCAAACAGTATCCTTGGAATGTGCAGGAAATGCTTGATCTTAGTCCGTCAGATTTATCCGTATTATTGCCGCTGGATTGAACAACGGAGCACCCACATGTCAAACAGTCCTGGAGAGTTAGGGGGTGAAAACGGGTTGGCCACACTGCTGATGTAGCAAGTGTCAAGGGACCCTTACTTGGACGGATGTAAAAAGAAAAGCAAAAGGAGGTTAGGCATTTCAAGAAGTCTACCATGTTTAGACATGAGGACACACGCAAATGCATGTTTGCGTACCCGTCCCGGTGACAGAGTTGGCAGCAAAGGGCAAGAATGGGTATGTGCCAGACCAGGGCACCCTACCCACACTCAGACACTCTTGTATCAAAGTGAAACTATCATAATCTGTTGGATGGGGTCGCTTCTGAAACGTGGACCGCCTTCAGCTCGTCAGAGATCAACGAGCTCAGTTTACAGCTTACAGCTTGCAGTATGGAATTTGACTTGACGTGCCATGGTCCTTTGAGCCTCCATTAGGCACTGGGCAGGTGTGTCTCTCACATGAAGGGACCTTCAGCTTGGCTTATTTTGGGCTTCCATCCGAGCTGTGGCCGCACTGGGGACTGGCTCTTGCCTGACTGCGGCCGGAAGCCGTTACTAAGTGCCCCGAGCACTTGAGCGACCAATCCCGTCTTCGGGCATGCCTCTGGTTGCCCAATCCTTCGTTTGTTTGGTCACCACCCTCCGCCCCCCAAAAGCCGTCCCCTAAGCCTTGTGGTGGGCGCCCTCCTGTTCCGCAGGCTGCTGCGGAAGAGGTGGTCCTGAAGCCAAGCCCAGCCGCAAATTGTCTGAGAGATGTCAAAGGCTTGGAGTTGCAGGAGAATCCCTCGCGAGTTGCTTCATTTATTTCCCTGGACCAAACCCAAATGGCCATAGGTCAAAATCCCGTGCCCCCCCCAGTGAAGATCCCAATCCCCACTAAAATAGACCAAAATGGGTGGTGCACTTACCCCAAAATAGTACCATTGGTTTTGACCCACAGCCAAATGTCCTGGAGACCTTCAAGAGGGTCAACTTTCCTTCAGCGGATATGAAACCACTGATAGCGTGCTATCACGTAGCCTTGGAGGCCCGTCGACTTCCGCAACAACCTACGAGTCTCCGGAAGGGCCAACTGAGCGTTCGCTCAGAAAATCTCAAGTACCAGCGGCTCTTGGACCTCAATTTGAGTCAATGAATCTAAAGACTCATGGGAGCAACCCCACACCCAACTGAAACAGGCGGATTCAAGTCTAGCCATAGAACCCTTCACTCGGGGTCTGTGTCTCACATTTGCGCATTGGGCTGTTGGCTCAAATGGGCTTGTCTAACAGATCCCGAGATGGGGCCCGGTTTCTCTTTGCTTTACCCTCAAACCCCTCCAAAGGGCACCAAGTAAACATAACCACGCACTCAAATCATGCAATTCCAAGACTCGACATCGGCTCCTGCTGTTCACGGTGCTTGGACTGAAGGTGCTGTAGGGAACCCGTCATCGACACCCTCTCCTCGGTACCACAACGCTCGACCCCTCATGGTTGTGCAAAATCGCCCAAGCGACACCGAGGTGGTGCGTCCTTTTGACTGTGCCACTTGGAGCTTCCCAGTTTACCTCAAAGCGTTGGGCAAAGCGCCCCGCTTTCCCGCAAAGACGCCTCCAGAGGGCCACGGTGGCTCATTTTAGTCTCTCTTTGAAGCTGCCCCTGAAAGGGCTCCTACTTTTGATCTTTGACACCACCGTGTATCAAGGAGTGGCGCCTGTACCTTGGCAGCGGTAGAGGCAATCTTGTTGTCTCTGGTTGCTGGCAGGCAGTAAATCAGAAGCACGGGCCGCAAATACAGGCAGTTGCGGGTGTTGACATGGCCAGTGAAGTTGTCTGGGTTTTCGGCCTCTGCTCATTCTTTCAGCTCATAGCGCTCGAGGGGAATGGCTTCAGCAGGGTCACTCAGAAAACAATGGAATCATTTGCCTTCCGATAGAGGTCGCGCATTGTTTCCACAATCTCTGTGGATGCTTTGGACTTGCACACGCACAATGCAACAGTACACCAATATGGCCCCAAAAAGAGCTCGTGGGTTAAGCCCTGATGCCCAAACAGGAACAGAACGAGTCTCAAAGTCTACCACATTCAGAAAGGCCCCATGGATAGCTTCAAACCCGCTCGTGGTGAAAAATGCAACGGTCGATAAAAGGCGACAGCCGTCAGCAATACGGGGCCTGCGCACCGAACTAGCACTAAGAATTCGGGGCTACCTCCAAGAAGGGAATATGTCGAGATCAATGGTCCTGCTTTGTTGTCCACAGGAGCTTTCACAGCTAACTCGATCTTCCATGTCCACTTCGGTTGCGGACAGAGTGAATGTTGGGAAGACTGGGCTGTTCAAAGGCTAGTGGCTTCTCAACAGGGACTAAAGATTGCGATTGGCCAGCCCAACATTTTGAATAGCCCAGACGGGCTCAACCAGTATCCTTTGCCTCCTTTCGGAGTAAAGATGGCGCAAGTAATCCTCAGCAGCAGCACTTTCCACTCACTTGGCCAACAGGCGCTTTGGGGTTGCTCCGTGTGATCAAGATTTCGAGGCCGCCGCTGGCCCTTCAACCACTTAAGAACACTCAAACAATGGAAGGGATTAGAGCCACTGACACGAATCATTGGAAAGCGGCCATTTCCTACCCAAGGCAGCAAAAACCCATCGATTCCCATGGATTTGAGTTCGGCCCTGGGCAGCCCCGCCGGCTCCGCTCTGCGCTGAAGCGCTTGAAGCTCCCTGGCCCTCAACTCCTGGGCACAGCACAGGTCTCCCACGAAACTCAAGAGGCCGAAGAGGGACAAGATCCCATGTCCGCCGCCGGGTTCCAATCACATCGCAAGAGCTAAAGTTGGGAGAAAACACTGCAAAGCGGCTATGACATGGGTGTGGGTTGAAAATAGGTACCCAAAATGGGTTGCCCTGGTAAATGGAAACATGGACTAAAACCTGCGGTCCCCTGGTTTCATTTTGACCCATACCCACATGTTGTGGCCTGCAGCAACTTGCCATGGGCCAAAATCCCGTACCCCCAGTGCACATCCCAATCCCAACTAAAATAGACCAAAATGGGTGGTGCAGCTACCCCAAAATGGGATCCCATTGGTTTTGACCCACAGCCAACTGAAATCCTTTCAATTTCTCCAGGATCCTCAAGCCGCCCTCTCCTGCGCCGTCTTCTCCAGCATGGCCAGGTGCAGCGTGCGCAGGGCCGGGTCCATGGTCAATGCGCTTCAGCTTCGGGTGATGCGGCCGGGATATGGTGCTGTGCTGTGTTGGCACTTGGTACTTTGATATGTTGGTTCCCCGATTTTGGTGTTTAGGATGGTGTTTTGGATTTGGGGACCATGTGAGGATTATTGGTGCCAGCTGGACCAAGGGCCTGTCTGCCTGCATGTGTTGCGACTTGGATGGCTTTGGCATCATGCGAAAAAGTGGCGATCTAAGGATCAACCTGCACAAGCCACACTTGGCTCAGCGGGCGGGGCCCTGGATCATTTGGAGCATCCCAGGGGAGTTTGCGGTGTGTTCATGTATATATATATATAGAGATATCGACACAGACATATATGTCAATGTAGTTATATTATTTGGCAAGCTCTTGACCCTGGCATGGGCCTGCACATTGGCCCCTCAAGGTGCAGCTGGAAAGCTGAACAGGCAACGCGGACTCGGTGCCAAAGACCGCACGTCACGTGCCTCAAAATGTCCATTGCCCCGTCCGGTTTGTCAGTGGGTCGACAGGGAACAAGGACGAATGAATCGGAAAAGAACAAGAACGCACCTGTGGTCCCTGCCCCAAATCTTGCATCACAGCTATTGGGTGAGAAGCCTCTAATTGAATGTGATGAATTAAACATCACGTCCCCTGCTCAGTGTGCAAACGACTACACAACCAACTTGTTGAAGCACTATCTGCTACCTTGAGGTTTTCTTGTTACCATAGTGGCCTTTTCCCCCTCTTCTTCCTGCTTCTCCTCCTGTTCGCCCCCTGCTGTTTCTCTGTTTATTTGTTTATTGGTCTTCGCTCCTTCATTTCCATGCGCATCTCTGTGCCCAAAAGAGTGCCCCCCCTTGTTGCCCCACTTCGACTTCCCCTAAAACCCAAATCCCAGAAACAGATTGGGCTTGACGCAG